CTATCTTGAGGTTGAAACTTGGGGGAAGCTAATTTTTCAATATTTTGTGTATTGCTCTCATTTCAGCTCTCCATCTTCCTTTGGGCGGCGGCGGCTGCAGAATGGTTGAGACACCCCTGGTAAGTCTGCTGGTTAAAGATTAGATGGAGGATAGAAACTGGTACAGTAAGCCACAAAGTGCTAAAACTTTCTTCTTACCAAGAGGAGAGGTGCAGGATTATCAGTCTTCCAAGTAACATTCACTTAGAAAATTCTATGTGCTTTTACTTACTTCAGGGCTCAGGACTGCAGTGCTGTCACTCGGAACATCTTCTTCATATCCTTTATTATGAAAACTTTCTATTTCGTGACCGGTGCTTCCTTCACTCGGGCACTTGTTATAGGAGCGTCTTGGGCTGTTGCTGCAGTGGGAAAATTCACATTTACTGTCCCCGATTTCTGAGGGTGTACATGAGAGGTGGGGAGACCCGCTGTCATCCTGATATGGCGGAGGCTGCAGTTCGTCCAGTGGGGGTGTTCTTCTCATTCTCTGAATGCAGTTTCCTGAGAAGGAGTAAGAATCTGGTCACTGTTTCCAAGTAGCCTCAACATGCAGCACAGTCCACAATCATTGCAAATAACTTACAAAAAAAAACTGGATTGAAACATGCATGCTTCACTAAAGTTCAGATGCAGAAATAAGCTCATTGGATTTCCCACTCTCTCCTCCTGTACAGTGATATCAGGGAAAAATAAAATATACTCTCAAATACTAGAGAGAGCCAGTTATATAGCATAAAAGTGGGAGTGATAACTATTCGTGAAGTAGCTTACCTAGTTCTTTCTTTCAGAACAAACCTGAAGCATCAGACTTCCTCATGATCGGTGTGCTCTCTAGTCACCGTAGGTAAAAATATTGTAGGTAAAACACATAAAAACTTCATTTGTTTTCTTCAATGCCTGAGATGAACTTATTAAACTAGCATTTGGTTCAACAGCATCAGAAACTATTCTTCCACGTCTACCCTAGATCTGAATCCTGACACACGAGGTGCCCTGGGAGTCAAGGCCCCATCAATCAGCAAAGGCGGAATGAAGGCTGCATTCCCTCCCATTCTATCTCCATCGTCATCATCGGAGGCCACCCCCTGCCCCACGCAGCCTGGGCTCCATCTAACGCGGCTCCACCTCGTCCTCAGCAGGTATCTCTGCCTCCAGCAGTTAATGTGCAACGCTTTTCCTTCACTCTAAATGGTCCTTTGAGTGTTTACCTCCACGGTGTATCTCAATGGCTAAGGACATGTCTGTGAACAAGGACAGACGTGGGAGCAGGAGGGGGCGGGGCGTAAGGAAACAGGGTTCAGTTTACAATTGCAGAACAGCTAAGTCTGTGTAGGTAAACCCTGAATGTAACATCAGGTATTACATTTAAATACTGCTCAGTTTTTCTTCTAATGGACTATGCATCTCCTTCTCGAAAGGGACCTGAAGAAAGGTAGTTTGTACTAGTCTTTTTTCCTCACTAGCTGTTGCACCATAATCATCCTCTGAACTTGCTTTTGCTGTGAGCAGCACGTCATAACTTCTGTCTGGTAATATAATGTTACACATTACTTCCTTTGGTTTATTTATGTTTATAGCAGGTAGCTCTCTAGCTGCCTGCCAACCAGGGTATGTATACAGCTGAGCTCCATCACCTGGCTCTTGTTCAGATGTAGCATACCTGCGCTCCAGGCAAGTTACCCAAAAGGGGGTCAGTGGTATTTAAGGATGCTAAGTAGGCTCCATGGGCAGACCTCACCACTGTTTCTGGATTTGAGAGAAACCATTTTAAAGCTGTGAATTGGAATATGCAAATTGTTTTAGAATATACAAATGACATATTACATATATTGGAATGTATAAATATATATAATTATAAATTACTATAAAAATCCTCAATGTTTTGAAAATAATACTTCCTTTACTCTTTACTTTTGAAGTAAAAAAATGCCCAAATGTATGTTGAATAGGAATTTCATTAAAAAAAAATACTTATGAGGATTTCTCTTTTAAAACTTTTGCAATAATGCCTTTTTTTTCTCAAATAGACAACCACATCATATTGTGCACACAGGATCTAGAACAGTGATGGTGAACCTCTGACACGCGAACTCATTTTTTTGATTTTTCTTTGTTAAATGGAATTTAAATATATAAAATAAACATAAAAAAATAAGTCTTTGTTTTACTATGGTTGCAAATATCAAAAAATTTCTATATGTGACACGGCACCAGAGTTAAATTAGGGTTTTTCAAAATGCTGACACGCCGAGCTCAAAAGGTTCACCATCACTGATCTAGAATAATAAAAGGGTAATATGCTAATTAGACCAGGCATCCTACCAGACAAAGTCACAGCGGGTGGGGGCCAAGGCCCTTGCACAAATTTTGTGCATCAGGCCTCTAATAATATAATAACTAAGAGTTGGCTTAAACTTAATTGATATTGGAAAACTTTAAAACAACTGTTTGACAAAATAACATAATGTACGTTATAGTTGTTATATCACACTGTAAACATCCAACCTTAAGAAATTCCCGGTAGGACGATCAAACACCAAAATGATGCTGCCCTATATTACTTTATCCCTTGTTTCATACCTAATTCCATGCACTGTTTTGTGGAAACAACATATCCATATAAGGGTTCATGCATGGGTACATGTTAAGCATTTAAATTTGCTACCTACGGATGGTACAGCACCTACGAAGCAAGACAAGGTATCCTCCAACCCTTGAGAACAACACTGCATGCATGTCCAAGTGACCCAGCTCTAAAAGACAGTGGCCGCCCAACACCTGGAGAATTCACTGTGCAAGTGTCTCTGGAAACCTGCCCAAGTTGATTATAGACAGTGGGTAATAAATTAAGGCTCAACACATTTCACAGAACTGGAACACAAACAGGATGTTTTCTGATCACAGTAAAATTACACTAAAATCAGAAATAGAACTCTAAAAGTCTATAGAAATGTAGACTAAATAACTAGAAATTAAAACATACTGTTAAATAACCCACGGATCACGGAAGTCACAAAAGAAAGTAGAAAAAATGAAGTAATCTCCAGCAGAAGTCAAATAGAAAGCATCAGCAAACCACAAAAGAATTCTTTGAGAACACTGATAAACCACTGGAGGAGACTAGTCAGGACGGGAAAGAGATGGCATAAATTACTAATATTAATATCTAGAATAAAACAGGACATCATTTCAAATGCCGTGTCAAAGCTCAAATAGGATGCGGAGGGGTGCACACATAGGTAGCCCTGCACAGCACGTGGAGCCCAGGCGGGGGGAGGCAGCCCAGAAGCAGACCGCAGCAGGGGAAGAAGGTTCCCCACAGAGGGGGGCAGTCAGCCTGGGCAACAAGCTCCACCAGGGGGAGGAGTGTGCCTACACTGAGCGAAGGGAGCAACCCTGTGAGTGGAGTCACTGCCCAATAGGACCAGAAGCCTGGAGAAGAGGCTGGGTGCTTGTCAAAGCCCGGGAAGAAGCATCTACACAGGCGTACGTACCTGGTGAAGGAGGCAGGCGTCCACGCAGACAGGCGGCCTGACGAGGGAAAACCAGAGCTAAGTGCGGGTGGGGTGTGTCCTTGTGGGTGGTGGCCTGGATTGTGGTGTGAGGAAGGCAGCTGTGCGAGGAGAAGGGGGAAGCCTGGAGTCTGGGGTCAGACCCCAAACAGGAAGTTAGAGCTGAGGTGGAGTGATGAGAACATCCGATGGGGCAAACCGGCCTGGGTGTCATGACACCCCCAGGGTCCCGAGGACATGCCCCGAGGACACGCACAAGTGGCAGAGGACCCTGGGGATATCAGAACCCAAATGAGGTGAGGGGACATGCATACAGAGAGAGGGGCATTAACCAAAAATATGTACAGAAAGGTTAATGAAAGCCAGGTCTCTGGCTTCCATTATTAGAGAAGGGAGTTACAAATGCGGAAAGGGAGAAAAAACTAGAACAAACTCCATCGTGTTGAATTAGAGTTGAAGATATCAGTGTGAACTCAGCTTTTAAATAACAGAAGCAAATATAGTGTAAATATTCATATAATTTGTATGTACACACACACACACCAGAGGACCCTGGAGGATTTTAAGAACAAGGCGAACCTTCTTCCCCCGTCCACTGGGGGAATTTCAGAACAATATTTCAACCAGTGAGCACACCCAGAGCCCAGATCTTGGCTTTTAAATCTATTCTTCACTAAAAGGAACCAGAACTCCATGAAGAAATGGCTAATTCCAGGGCTGGGAAAGAGAAAACATGAGACAAACTTAGAAAAGCTTATTGTCTAGAGTAGGGACATACTCAAAGAATGATGGGGACACGTTCACAGGACACAGAAGCCAGCTGGAAGGGGTTAGCACTGACCAAATCCCACTAACAATCTGAGCTTCAAAAGAAATAATTTTAGTAACTATTTACAACACATTGAGGAAAGCCATGAGTTTATCTAGATATAAATATCTGAAGGAACAGGTTACGGACAAGTTACAAAGTACCTTCTGACAGAGCACTTATTAACGAGAGCAACTTTACAGTGAGAAGCCTGGTAGATCCACCTCCCTAACGGAGAGATCAGAGTGGGCATTATGAGTAACGAGACAAATCAAAATGGTGCATCACCTCATAAGAAGCAGTGAGAGGAATACAGCACCACTCTGTGGCATTCCAGCTCGGGATGCACAACCCGAATCTCACCGTGAAAAACGTCAGACAAACTGAGATATTCTAAAATGGAAATGCCTGCATCTTCAGGAACCAATGACTGAGGAACTGCTCTAGATGAAGGAGACTCAGGAGGCGTGACAACTAAATGAGAAGCATGGTTTTGAACAAGACCCTTTTGCTATAATGGGCATTACTTGGAGCGCTGTTGACCATGAATGGGTTCTGAGGATTAGATATAATAATATATTGATGTTAGTAACTTAATTTTGAGGGTTGTATAGTGGGTATTTAGGAGAATACTCTTGTTTGTAGAAAATATACACTAAAGTACTTGGGGGTGATAAAGCAGCTGGTCAGTGGACCACTTATTGTCAGATAGTTCAAGGGGGTAAAAGGGACTCTAATATTTTTCCAACTTCTGTTAATTTTGTGAATTTTTAAAAAAAATTTCCATTAAAAAGACACCTTCATACTTTCTGAAAATAAATTTGAAAATCAGATGATATAGACAAATTCCTAGGGAAACACAACCTATCAAAACAAACTCATGAAGCAGCAGGAAAATTATATATTATTATATCTCTTACAGAAATTGAATGCATATTTTAAAACCTTCCTAACAAAGACAATTCCAGACCCAGATGGCTTCACTGGTGAATTTACCATTTAAGGAAGTAAAAAACACAAATCTTATACAAAACATTTCAGATAATATGAAAGAGAAAATATTTCTGAAATTTTTTAACCTTAACACCAGCATAACCTTGATACCAGGGCCTGATAAAAATATCTTATAAAAAATAAGCCAACCTATTTTGTAAACATAGATATAAAAATTCTATACAAAATATTAACAACCTAAACCCAGAGTCATATAAACAGGGTACCACATCCCAACCAACTTGGTTTATCCTAAGAATATAGAATTATTCTATAAATGTAAGGAGGATTTAACATTAGAAAATTAATTTATCTAGTTAATTGCATTGAAAGAATAAAGGTAAAAATTATCAAATGCTCTTTTAGTCGTAATGAATTACAAGAGCTCTTGATAAAAGTTATCCATTCATGACAAAAATCTCTGCACAAACTGGGAATAGAAGCCAATTTCCTTTATCTCAGAAAGGGTATCTTTGCAAGTCCTACAGCAAACATCGCTTTTAGTGCTGAAATAAATGCGGAGAGCTTTACCTCTGAGGTAGGGAACAAGACAACAATGCCTGTTATCAACACTTCAACTTAACAATGGACTGGAGGTGCTAGCCAGTGCAATAAGGTGAGAAAAGATGATGCAGAAGAATCAAAGAAAGAAATAAAACCCATTACTTTCAGATGACAACTGTGATATAGAAATACCAAAATAATTTTAGAGATAAATTAGAGTTAGAAGCAAATTGAGAAAGGTCACTAGATATGAGCGCAATATTAAAACAAACACACACAATTTCTATACACATGCAATGAGCAATTAGAAAGTGAAATTTAAAAACAATCAACACATAGCACTGCATCAGGTAACATCAAATACCTAAGAAGAGATCTAAAATATCACCTTGCGTTATTTTTCCGGTTCTTGGGTTCACAGTTAGGACGTACACTCTTAGCATCTGGCAGAAGCCACACTTTGGCTTTCTAAGCAGCGGCCATTTGGTAGAAGAACGGACAGCTGGAGACCATTGGACCTTCCTTTCTCTAGCAACAAGACACCCCCAGGGAAGAGCAGAGACTAGTCTACCATCATAGCCTTGAGAACTGCTGACCTCATAACTGTCTTCACTAGCTTGGCCACTGCAAAAATTAACAGGCTTGACAAAGGATCATTAGAAGAAGGCTGCAACTGGAGATGTCACTCCAGATGGAGCCTCCCTGTTGAGCGAATTAAGGTGCCTTGGTATTTGATAGGTAGCTTTAGTTTAGCAAACCATTTTTCCTTCAGAACAATCCGGAGAGAACAAAGCTAACAGGCTGTTTTCATGGGGTAAGGAGAGCAATACTCCTACTGTCCTGCGATGGGGATTCTTGGGATATATTGCCAGAAGTGGGATTGCTGGGTCAAAAAGCAATTCTACTTTTAATTTTTTTGAGAAAGTCATGAAGACAGTTGTTTCTTATAATTTTTCCCAGTGTTCTAATTATCAGAAAAACAAGTCCTACAGCAGTTACTTCTTCATGGGTTGAAATGGAAATTCCAAGTCTTCTCATTTTAAGCACAATTGGAATAAGCTAGATGACATATTCTTAATGAGTGTAATGTTATACCCAAGGGGGTTAAAATAAGCTCTGAAGTGGGAGACAAAAATTGTAGGTATTTCAAATTTGTGACCAATCAAAGCTTAACCCTCCCAGATAAAATCTTAATTACTTAGTAATTTTCTTTTATGTAGAAGTTAAATTCAAATTTAATCAACTGGATTTATATAAATTAAAATTGTCTCTGTAGGGAACCAACAATGGGAAAAGGTTGAGAAACACTGATCTACTTAGTTTGACAAGTCATTCTACTGAGCTTTAAAAAAATCAGCGACTAAACAATCTATAATAATAAAAGTGTAATATGCTAATCAGACTGGACAGCCGGACAACCTTCTGGACAAAGCCAGGGCTGCGAGGGCTGAGGCAAGCCGCTGCAGCTGCGAGCCCCTTGCACAAATTTCATGCATCGGGCCTCTAGTATTGTTATAATCCTAGAGCTTTAAGCATTCATACCTGTGTCACACACTACAGAGAGAGTCAATGAAAAGTTTCCTGATGTTCTACTTGATAATTCTAGTGTACACACTATAAAGAAACATTTTCACATCTTTTTTGTTTTAAATCACAGGAACTAAGTAATGTTTATCCTTACTACGTGCAAAAATTGTATTTTATGGCCAATATAATTTCATTTTTTAAAATGTTTTTCAAGATCCATAGAATTGATTTCATGATCTATCTGCACTTTGGAAATCACTGTCCCAGCTTTGCCAGACTACTCATGTTTTCCTGAAATTGATGGGGATTATCATGCCTCACCAATATTGGACATGGCTCAATACATTGTTCTTTGTTTTCAACGTCAACCTAGAAATGTCCTTTGTTTCCAAGATCCAAGACCCCATCATTCTAGCATAAAACCTTGCCTGTTCTGTTTTAACAATTCCATCCTCTGTGCCAACATTCTGTGCCTAGTTCCCGTAGTACTTTGCACTATATGTAATTCTTTAACAAATATTTCCCCAAATCACAGAAAAATACATTTAATGAAGTGTTTACAACAGGTGAAGTAACTGGAAACTTCATACACTGCTGATGGTCATGTACAATGGTACAACCACTTTGAAAAGTAATTTGGCAGTTTCTCAAAATGTTATACATAGAGTTATGGTATGACCCAGCATATTCCACTCCTACATTGTATGTACCTAAAAAAAATGAAAACATATATTTCACAATGATTTGTACATGAATGCTAATGGCATTATTACTCATGATAGTCCAAAAGTAGAAAGAACCCAAATATTCATCAAGTGATGAGTGAATAAAATGCATTTATCTCTACAATGAGATACCAAAATAATATAGTTCTGATATGTTACAATATGGAAAACCCGTGCAATCAAAGTGACAGAAATCAGTCACAAATAGCCACATATTACATTACTCCATTAATATGAAAAGTGTGGAACAGGCAAACACTATATATAGACAGAAAATAGATTAGTAGTTGCCTAGGCTGGGGAGTCATATTGAACAATGACTGCTAATGGGTACAAGATTTATTTTTAAAGTGATGAGAATGTTCTAAAATTAGATTATGGTGATGGCTGCACAGCTCTGTAAATACACTAAAAACCACTGAATTGTACACAAGTGATTTTTATGGTATGCGATTTACATCTCAATAAAGCTCTTAAAAACATGTATTTCCCCTATTTGTTCTGAGATTTTAAGTAGAGAAACTGACTCTTAATATTCCCAAAGTCTACAATGTAAGGTCTCAATAGATAAATGAATATTTATGATTACCAAAGATACGCTAGTTGTAGGCAACAGAAAAGAAAACAGATGAAGGCCTACTATCAAAATGCTTAATGTTGTTTGCTGAAGGAATGAACCTATGGGAAAGGAAATTACCTAAAAATATAACATTTCACAATATTTAAAAATAAATATGTCATGTTGGTACTGCTATCCACAAATTAAGTCCCAGGTTAACATCAAAGACACACTGTTGGTGTCATAAAATCTATGCAATAGAAACATTATGGAGAATTAGAAAAGATGTATTGCTTTCTGGAGGGCATTTTCTTTTGATAGAAAAGAATTTATAAAATCTGGACCCAAGTCATCTGTGAACAGCCTAACAGAAATTTTTGAAGGAGTGTAGCATTAATCAACAATGTGAATGACAGGACAGGGGCTGCAGGCTGACAAAACAGATGCCTATGTTTGTGTCAATGCCTTTTGCTCACACACTAGTTTATGGTCTACATGGTACTTAACAATACTTCACTGTGTAAGAGTGTAGGCTTGGGCCTGGCCAGTGTTGCTCAGTAGTTGAGCACTGACCTATGAACCAGGAGGTCACAATTCAATTCCCAGTCAGGGCACATGCAGGCTTGATCCCCAGTAGGGGGCATGCAGGAGGCAGCCCATGGATGTTTCTCTCCCCCTCTCTCTTCCCAAAAATCAATTTAAAAAAACATATTTAGAGAGAAAAAAAAGAATGTTGGGTTTGGTATTGGACAGCCTGGGGTGTTAGACAGCCTGGTTCTAACTCCACCTCTGCCATTTACTAGATGTGTGACCCCCTGGTTCATAGGTCCATGCTCAACCACTGAGCCACACCAGCCAGGCCCAAACAAATCCTACCCTCTTATACAGTGTAACTTAGAAAGAATAAGTGGATTAGAGCCAGATATTTTTCATTATTAATGTTCCTGAGAAAAAGCAACATAATTTCCAAGTTTGTTTGTAGATTAATTTTGCAAGAATTCTGCCCTGTTAAAACTGTACAGATATGTTATGTCACCTTGCTAAAACTGTACAAGAGGTCACAACAAAAAGTAATCAAACAAGGACTTTTGAAAAAGCAAAACACAGGATTACTTCCCATACCAGTCATTTAGCAACATAATCCATGCCATCTACATTGGCATGAGCATCTTAATTTACAACGTTTACTTTGGTTCTCTCTAGTAGTCAATATTAATCATGACCTTAAAGATTCAATTAAGCTAAGTATAAGAAACAAGTCAGAAAGATTTCCATTAAAATATTAAAGAATTCTCATGCATAAGGAATAAATTCCTAGTTATCTTTGAGGGATAAAGAATTATCATGCATAAGGAATAAATCCCTAGTTATCTTTGAGGGCTATAGATAACCACGGGTTTACAATGCTCAAATTCCATCAGAAATGCAAAGAATCTAATAAAATAGAGCTGATTTACTTCCAAGTACAAATTCTAAATATATGGTACCTTCTCAAGTCCGCAAGATTTTATATCCTCCTAGATTTTCATGCTCCTGTCTATCAGCATATGCTCATCAGTAAATGAAAGTAAAAAATTAAACACAGAAATTAAATCATATCTGCTACCTTTCCCATTGTGTTTCATTTCATCTTTATAACAGACAACAAAGAGCCTTTTCTACAAGTCTGAGTTATAACTTAAATCAATCAATAATATGAAATTATAAATGTCAGCTTTTATTTGCCTTGTTTGATGGACCAAATCAGAAAATAAAATCTGATAAGTGCTATATATGCAATAATATGTGATACTATAACATACCAAAGATTTCATTTTAGAATTAGTTTAGGCCTTCTTGAGTTCATATATTACATTTTTTGCTATTAATAATTTGGTGAGAAGTTTTTATATTTGTTTTATGAAATGGGAAAGAACCCATGCTCTTAGAAAGACAAAATATATAATTCAGTTCTGGCCTGCAATATAAACACAGATTTACAGGAGATGATGTTAACAGTATAGACTGGTAAGGTGGTGGTTATATACTAATAAAGACAAGAATGAGAACAACTAATTAGCTTTTTCTTATGACATAATCTGGAAATGTGATCTCAATTCCTGGAGGATAAAAGAGAAAGGCTGTTCTCATCCCATTTTGTTTTAAAAGACTTCAGGCATTCTGAGGACTTTTCATTTTTTCATTTTTATAATACCGGCAACCAGACACTTCAAAAATAGATGGCTGAAATTGTGGCAATTTAGAATTATGAAGCAGTTAAGTGCTTCATAATGTTGATGTAATACAGCAATTCTAGACCTTTGTAATTCAGTAAAAAGGCTTTGTTTTGTTGGTCATGTTGAAACTATACAATATGAGCACCTCTCTATTTTCACTGGAAAGGACTCAAATTTTTAAAAATCTTTGCATTAATGTTTGACCATTGTTATCGGCTCGCCGTTGAAATTTATTATTTTGTAACTAAAAATAAAATGAAGCACTAATGAGGAAAAGGTTGTATAATGTTAGAATTTTGATTAGCAATCACAGCTGCACCAGAATTAGTTTCTATAGCAACAGGAAGAAATAATGTGTTGAATTGCAATGCAATACAAGATTATTCTTTACAGATTGCAATTCAAAACGAAATCTTTAAAGAATTTTGTCTCAAAAGAGTTATTAATCTTTTATCCATAATAATTCTCTCACAGAAAATACTTAATTATTACGGTCTACTTTCCCTGAATCCTGTTTTAACCCATTCAAAGTTAATACGCTCCCCCAAAAGGTGGAACATTTAATATTAATGAACAATAAGAATTTCAGCTAGTGTCTTACTTGCATTTTAAAATAAAAACCCATGGACTCATTCTTGCACATTGTATAGACAGAGTACGTTTCCTAATAAGTACATTAGACTCTAGAAGGAAAAACCTAAAAGGTGCTGTTACGAATAAACTATGTAGAGGGATAAGAATGAAAAAGGATAAGCAAATTCTACATTTCTATCAATATGAAAATAAGTGTCCCTTTTATTCTCTGTGCACTCCCTTGTCTAAATTATGATTGAGAAACTACACTATGAGTATTCAAAGTGTACATCTCTTGTCCTTTAGAAAAAGATAATCATTAAATTTCAAATGCTGCCCATACCATTTCTAAAGGTGAAAAATATTATTTCACGGCATCCTCTCCAGTTCTAGCTATTTTTGGAAACTAATTAAAAACATATGCCTGAACCTTTTATGTATTTTGCCCTTATAATGAGACCTATTACTGCGGCTTACTCTCTACCCATTTGAGTTCCATATCTTTGGAGTCACCATGGATACCAGTGACAAGCATTCTCCCACAACTGCTTTATGTGTTTCATCAAACACGAGGAAACTGACATGGCAGGAATCAAGCCATCTAGACACCATGAATTCCTAATTGTTTGTACTACTATTCATGCTTTTTACAAAAAGGTGTGTGTGTGTGTGTAGGAATTTTTAAATTAAACAAGCCAGGGGACTGGAGTGTTATTTTAAAAATCTGAGTAGACATCAAATCACGAGGTAAGAAATGAAGAGGGATTAAAAAAAGAAAAGGTATAAGCATTAAAATAAACTAATATATAACAGCCCATCAGTAAGTCACAGGGTCCAAAGTGAAACCTGAAGCTCAAAATAAACAGGTTTTCAGATCTTCAATAGTGAAAAATAATTATATTAAAGACAGTATCTCATAGCAACATTCATATCTATATAGTCCATAATAAAAATTTTCAGAAAAACTCATTTATGAGAACATATAGAATGTTACTGCTGGCTTGTAACAAAAACATTGCAAAATGGAGCAGCATGTTTAAAAATTATCAGGCAAAATTACCAATAAAAATTATGTGGACTACGTCAGAAATTCTCTCATTCTATCTCTACATTTTTTCCCTCCGTACTGTAGCAATTGTTCTTAATAAAATAAAACCTTCTACTAAAACATTTTAAAAATCAGAAATTGAATATCAGATGTGACTTCTAACAAGAAATATTTTCAGCATCTCCTTTTGTGACTCACAGTTTTAAAAACAGTATAAATATGTAAATGGTGCTGAGGTGACTTCCTATCAGAAACATAGTTTTACTTTTTAAGACAAATATGCATATAAATCTTAAGTTTCAGTCTCTTCACATGACATAACAATTCACAAGAATTATATTAAATGTGGTACGTCCCTTTAATGAATGTTTAATTATTCTAAGTTTTCTAATTAAGAAACATCAACCTAGTAATATTATTACTCCTACAAGGATTTGTGACCTAAAGATCATATTGGCTGGGTAAACACAAATATTTTTATTACCTAAAATGCAAAAGCTGATTTGCTAAAAGAAAGCTCTTGAATTTATAGGCAGCACACACAACGTACTAAAATTCAGTTTGATAAAGTAGGTTCCACGAAGAGGTTCCAGGTTAAACCTCATAATGCCTCAATTTCTTCATTTGTAGAGAAGGAAAGTATCTTTGGTAGCTATTAAAAGACTATAAAAAATTTCTAAATAGAAAACATAAAACTGTTCAAGGAAATGGGAATACTCTGCTTAAATGAGAATTAGCTGAGAGAAGAATAATACACCTCTATACCCCTGAAACTCTAATCAGGACTCACAGAACATGTTCAATATCTGTTTTCCTTATCACTAAGGACTATAGCAAAAATCTGTAGAAATTATATTCAAAACTTGAATTTTTTAATATAATTTCTATGGACTTTCACTCTAGTCCTTAGTGTTGTGGGAGGGGGCGGGGGGTGAGGGCATGTGTTGGGGTATAGGGGTGGCCGGGGGAAGGTCAATGGGGGGAAAAAGGGAGACATATGTACTACTATTTGTAATACTCTAAACAATAAAATAAAAATAAATTTTTAAAAATTATATTCAAAACTATCCTTGCTGAAAGGAGTTGAACAGCAGAGAAATTTATCCACCTAAACCAGCTTCTCTCATGAGTGCCACCAGAGACCCAATGCCCTGCTCTGTGAAGAGTGATTTGGGAAAATACCGTGTGGACGGACCTATACTAAAAGCACCCAGGTGACTTCAACGCGCCTCTCCTGTGCCCACCTACTAGTGTAACAAAGTGCAAACCACTTGACACAGGGCGATTCCAAGTTTAACTGTCTTTTTCTCCCAGGAATTGTTCAACAAGATGCATTTGCTTTAGTACCTATTTTGCCAGGCACAGAATTTGTGAAGGTTCCATGCCAGGAATAAGGAGACTAATAAATATCAAATAGGGAGGGAGGAACCTTGGGTTTGAATCCATGGTCTGCTACAAAGAAACTAAATTAGCCTGTCAACTGGTTCTGTGCACATAAAGTGAAGAAAATGAGCTAGATCACTAAGATCCTTCCAATTAAAAAAAACATCTTTGCAATTCTAACTACTATAAATCCATAACATTTAACAGTTCCATTTTGGGCTGGTTTAAAATAAGAGATTAATTTTCTTAAAGTGGAAATTGCTAATGATGCATTGGTTTATAAAAGGAAACTAGAGAATCTCTTTTCTTGAACAAAAAAAACCCAATTTTTTTTGCTCAAGCCAAGTTTTATGTTTTGATATTTGAGATGTAGACTTCCCTGCATAACGACATATAACTTTCAAGAGCCCATCTAGCTTTGTGATTCTACAACTAAATGACTGAACAATGCAAAAGGAGATCGAAAGCTGGCCAAAAAGACTGCATGTAAGGGTTAAAGGAGGAAAAGCAAAAACACATACTTCCCTCCTGAGAACACGTAATGGAAGTGACCACTTCATTATGCAGACATTTTATAAATAGTTATCATTAATAATTAGAGTAGCCCTATCTGGTTTGGCTCGATGGAGAGAGCATCAGCCTGCGGACTGAAGGGTCCCAGGTTCGATTCCAGTCAAAGGAACATGCCCAGGAAGTGGGCTCGAGCCCCAGTAAGGGACCTGCAGGAAGCAGCCAATCAATGATTCTCTC